ATTACAATATCTAACAACATTATATAGAAAATATAACAATATGAAAAATGGAGTTTGAAGTATGTACTGCAGCACTCTTTCAAATCTGGCATAAAGAAAACCATTAATTCATAAAAATGTTTAAACTGATAATGACTTTTTTCTTTTTTACTGGGATGTACATGTGTACGCTGGAAATAAATGTTTATTATTACTTTTATCCACTAAAAAGTTAATTTATTAAAAATAAAATATTAAAATTTTTCAAATGGGGGGTTAACAACTGAACAATAAACTCTATTTTAAATACTGTTCATTTGCTGTTTACTTCACTTTCACTCTTTAACCATGTTTTCTTTATGTGTATTATTCTGTATATTGTTTTCTGTATGCTTATCTTGGCATATTTTTCTTATTTTTATTTTTGTTTTTTAATCAAAATAACTTATTGTATTTGCATTTTGCTCTGCCTGGGAGTTTTGAAGCAACAGTATACTGTAGGTACAGAATATGTGACAGATCTTTAGATTTTTTAATGTCTGTGAGGACAAAATGTTTTGCAAAATTATAAGAAAGTTCAACGAAGAAACCCTTCTGTTTACCCGCATCTAGTTTTTCTCTGCTTAAAGTACACAAAATCAAATCTATTATATTATAATATTATATATTCAAATATCAAATCTGCTAACCGACTGGTTCAATGACTATATATAAAAGACTAAAACATCTGTGATATTTGCTGGTACATGCTTAAAAAAGCCAATTTCCACTAGTGGAACAAAAGATGAAACCTTAAAATAAAATAAAAAACTAGTTAATTAAAAAGTAAAATTATGATCTTAAAGGTCAAAGTTATGATATAAAAAGTCATTATGAGATTAAAAGTCTGAATTATGATAAAACAAACCCCCTGTCTATGAGCTGTTCGTTATAATTGGCGTTAATGGGCTTCCATACCTGAGTGAGAGCGCTTTTATTTTTACCCTGAGTCCTGTCGGCCTGTCGGCTGCGCATGCGCACCGTGTCGCCGCTGGCTGTCCGGAGCTATGGCCGTCGCGATGCAGACGGACGGTTTCCCGTTCCTCCCGTCGGGCCCGGCGGAGGGTATGACCCGCTTCTGTACCCACATAACGCCCCACTTTAAACCCCACAACCCCGCCACTGCGCTCGGACGCAGCGGCGGAGAATTATGCGTTAAATGATGCCGTTAGCCTCCTGCTAGCTGACGTTAGCCGGCACTGCAGGGCGAGCGGAGCGGTGTTGCTAAGCTAAGCTAAGCTAAGCTAGGCTAGGCTAATCTAGGCTACGATAAACTGGGCTAGGCTAGGCTAGGCTAGGCTAGGCTAGCTGACGCCGCCGCTGCTCCAAGGTCGATGAGCGTCTGAATCCGATGCAGCTCCGGACTGATGGGCCGGTTCCTGAGTGTGTGTAGACCCGGTCCAGGAGGGGACGGGGTTCAGGGTTTAGGCCACAGTGCGGGTCGCAGTTAGCTCAGAGTATTATGGGCTGTTATTATTTTAACACATGTTAAACTTCTGGATGTTTATGGAAGCACGTTTCTGCCAAAGTGACGGAAAAACCAGATTCTGTAATTTAAAATAATGATGATGGAGTTTATTAGAATAATGAGTTTGTGATAATAAGTCATTATTCTGAGATACTAACTAAAAATAATTATTATTTTCACTGACTGAATCTTGTTTTTCTGTCACTTTAGCAGAAATGTGCTTCCGTACTTTGTAGATAAACTTTGTGTGTAATAATGTGTTATATTTGTTGGTGCTGTAAAGGTTTAAATCCTCTTAATTAGACATTCGCTCCTCTGAAAACACGATTTCACAATATCGTGATGTTTTTGCGACGTAGAAAGTGAAATAATTCATTAAAAATTGAAGGCAACTTGTTCCAGTGAGACAGGGATTGGCTGAATTTGCATTAATCATATTTAATTTAAATATTCTTAAAGTTATTTGTTTAAGAAAGCAGCCCTCGGAGTACTCAGAGCAAAGGTCTATTGTCTCTCAAATTAAATGATCAATAATCCTCTATTATTTCTGAGGTTGGGTAGAAACATATTTCCTTTTATTTATAAAAGAGAAAGTTATGTTCTTACATTTAATATAAACCAGTGAGTTACAAACGGTCGGCATGAACGGGGAAATTAGCTCGGAGACCGAAGCTGGGCTGTAAATGTGTTTATTTCTACTTAAAGTATTTTAATTTGCGGCCTTACGGAGACGGACTCACTGCTGGAGCCAGCCTCTAGTGGGCGCTGGAGGAACTGCAGGTTGTGTTACCTCTGTGTTTGCATTTGGAGGTTGCTGCTTGGACGTGAGTGACGCAGGACGACAAATAAACAAAGTAGAAGCGTTCGTCTCGTTTGTATATCGTGATTTAACCTCCTCGCCGTATATCTTTACATTCCTAGAAACCAGCGACGTTAACTGCTGAAAGGGGAACATTAAACAGTAAGAGAGTCACGCTCCTACATTGTCCCATCCAACCACATTTAATCCCCTGATTTAATACTTTAATCACATCTGTCGGTTATATCACCAGTTATTTCTGTCACATGTCTGTGAGTTGACGCTGTTGGAAGTTAAACTGAGCCAAGAACAATGACTCAAACTCAGTCAGACCTAAAACTGTGTCTGTGTCTGCGAGCGTGGTGCTCACAGATTGTCGTATAGGCGTTTGCCAGCTGACTTTAATGTATTGCTAACGTGTGCATATGAATCACTCGCGGTGAGAAAGAAAACTGTTTTCACAAAAAGCTCTAAAATGAATAGAAGTCACAGGATTTCAGTGTCTCATGCCTTTAATAAAGGACGTTTCTTAAACAGCGTTGTTTGAACTTTTGCCACGTTGTGTTATAATGATTTTTCCCAGAAGATGTAACCTGATTTTAAAACCTCCTGTTTCTCTCCTCCTGCAGTAAATAAGATGATAAAGGAGCACGGCGACCTGTTTTCTGACTCCCAGTGTAAAGTCTGCAGCGCTGTCCTCATTTCTGAGTCTCAGAAGTTGACTCATTATCAGGTCAGTGAGCCCAAAGTCTGCCGCTGTTCTACTGTCAGGGGACTTTATTCTTTACTATGCTCAGTGATACCAAGGAGTATTAGCTAGAAGGAATTATTGTCATTGTGTTATGCATTATTCATTTATTAATGATATTGTTATATAGTGAAGATGAAGTCCAATAATCTCACACTAACTGTCTTTCAGAGGCAGTTAATAGAGAGAGTGCTGTAGATACAGGGCAGAGGTCAGGGCTGTAGGTGCAGGTCGGAGGTCTGTACTATTTGATTCATACAATAGATATTAATATGAACTTTATTTTATATGTTTTAGTGAAGTCCAATAATATGATACTAATCGTCTTTCAGAGGCAGTTAATAAGCAATTGATTGACAATAATACTAAGTTACATAGGACAGGATAGATTCGGGACATAGGTCAGTGCTGTAGAT